CTTCGGCAAACGATGGTTCGGCATACGTAACACATGTCCCAACCAACGCAGCTTCTGGTGCTGGACACATTCTTCAATGGAAGTACCCGTTACACAACCCTTATCTTTTACTTGAACTCAAACTGCACGAAATTAGCGAAATTTGGTTTCGATGGAAAGCTCACTTGGAACCCAGTAGAATCCCTCGTTTATGATGTATACCTGTTCGTTCACTACTGATCCTTTCTATGGAGGGACGGATTTTTACTCATTTAGCCGATCACGGACGCACAAAATGTGGTTAGCTAAATAAATATATTGGTTTCGATGGAAAGCTCACTTGGAACCCAGTAGAATCCCTCGTTTATGATGTATACCTGTTCGTTCACTACTGATCCTTTCTATGGAGGGACGGATTTTTACTCATTTAGCCGATCACGGACGCACAAAATGTGGTTAGCTAAACAAATATAAAACCGTATGTGGACTATGATTGCGGCAAGGCACATACTTTGAGAATCGCATCAGTAGAATGATGTACAATTATCTGAAGTCATTACAGCCCCATGTCAACCGACTGATGTTTCTAGCCAACTCCTAAAGAAATACTAGCATTGGATGTTCAAGGAATCCCATATAACCCCATACAGATTGTCACGTATTCTTGGTTGACGTAGCGCTCATGATAGGTTGCCAAAGTACTCCCCCGCATGCTGAAACTTCGAATTACCGAAATTCCAAGCAATTCCACGCTGAAAGAGACAGTATGTACATTTGGTTCCATTTTTACAAATGAACCGCTTTCCAGTATTCGTTGCAACGTTCCCAAAGTTCACCGTGAGACCAGTGAACAAACCGTGGTCCGTTTCATTCGAAACGAGGGTGAACGTGGACGCTTTCAGGTGAGCAAGCTGTCGACTTCAACGGTCTTGCATTCATTTCAGGCTTACCTCTAGCAGATTACCAGACGTGGCTCCTAGCAAAGCCGGACTCATCTGCCCAAGTTAAAAGACAACACGCCCATTGTCATTGAACGAGCAACGCATACGCACATTATCGTCCCGGTTCGAACGAGGCGCGAGTGACGCTAACAACCACCGCGACAAGATGACAGGGTCACAGAAAGTTTCCTTGTTCATCTAGTGTTCCTACTCTGAACAACTCAGCTCATTTCAACTCATTGTCAAATAGTTACCAGTTTTTGAAGGGCCACTGTGCTTGCTTCAGCAAATGTCGTGGGTATAAATGGGAGAAAATGCAGAGAATTCGCATTAGTAATTTCAGATAAACTACTTATATCTACTACTACTTGCAAACTAATTTGGTTTTTCGGGAGACTCACCTGGAGCCCGGCTGAATCTCTTGTTTGTGATGTTTCCAGGCAACTGAATGTGCTGCACCAGGCCGCCTTATGGTTCAGTCCCCACTATATTCGAAATATCGCGATACCTGTGCGTTCGTATTGCACTACTCATAAGGTTACTGAAATTCCGTCGACTGGAAACATCGCAAACGAGAGATTCAGTTGGTTTTCAGGTGAGTCTCTCGCAAAACCAAATTAGTTTGCAAATGAGTGCATTTCGCTAATTTCGCGCAATTTGGGTTCAAGTAGAACATAAAGTTGATGGAAACTCGGGGACTGCGCCTACCTGATGAGCCCCAAGAAGTGCGAAACCGGTCGTAGGCTGTCGACGAATTTTCAGCAACCTTATGAGTAGTGCATTACTTACATCTGGTTCGTAGAAGAGCGAAAATAACTTCATCCCAAGAGGGGATTCTGATTTATCTGCTGATTGACTTTTTTTAGGTAATAAGAAGCGATGCTGAGTGTCAGGAACGCGAGGAAACCCGTTCTCCTAACTAAATTTGCAACTGTTTTTTCTATGGTGAGGCGAGTTCCCTACAGTAACGATTGACCTGACCAGTGCGGTACACACATTGAAGAAGATAGTGCAAGCCATCGAATTCCTGTGAACTTTATTCACTAACGCTGATTCGTCATAAAGAACGATTTTCCTAAGGTGACCTAACCAGAAAACTTGAATCTAGTAGTTACACATGTGGTGGTGCCATTCATGTTATATATACATACGTATATATGTATATATACAACATATATAACGCCACATAAGTAAGTGCTAGATTCAGGAAAAGCGCGAAACTGTATACTGGCTTCGATTCAAGAATGTAGGACCTAAACATGAAGTTATCAAAGTGCCAAGGTAGCCTGGTATGTTGAACTACTATATATGTTGCAGCCACAGTATATATATTATGGTATGTAGTAGTATATAGTATATACAATATAGTATGTTATATAGAATATATAGTATATAGTATAGTATATATTGTAACCATAGTAGTCCTTGGCCGTCTTATTCGTACACCACTACACCTGGAACGCAGCACCTGTCCCGCGATTCTTTCCTGATGTCTACTTAAACATTTGTGAACATTCGAGTGCTTCTAGTGAAAGTAGTGAGATTGTTTATGAGGAGCATGACGATTTGTTCAAAGTACTCGGATTCCCAAAGAATTGGACCCACCGGCAAGAACCAAGCAAACTAGTTGAGTGAGTAGTCTTCATTCGCACCAGAACTGCTGCCCCCTAGTTCCTTGTGTGGTTAGATTGAGAAAAAAGGCACTATTATGGTCATATGATTACCAGGGGACAAATGTCTTCAAAACCAAATCACTTTGTACATTGGCGATGGGGGGTGGGAGTAGTATTTATAAACATCTTCGAGATTGCGCATATGATACAGTGGAAACCGAGACTAATGTGTGTGTGTGTGTGTGTGTGTGGATTCAGTTGTGCGTTGAGTACCGCAAAAGTCCTGATGTTGGAATAGAAACATCCCGTCTTCGAACGGTACGTGAGGGAAATGAATGGGGTATCCAACACTAAAAGTAAGTCTCAAAGCATCGGTACTGGACTACAAATGTTAGTGCCGTTGTTGGGACGACCACTAAGCATGGGTGGCAAGGGATGTGATGTGTTCATGAATACTGGAGAGATCAGTGCACCTGGTAAATCTGACTGGTATACCTGAGACCCCAGCGCGTTTGGACAACCGGCAAGAGCCAAAGCGGGAGAAGCTGAACGACCGAAAGCAGGAATTTTACAAAGTGTCGAGGATTGTGGGCTGGTTGCTGTGTGACCTTGAGGTAGACAGATTGGCATTTGGTAGCGTAAGTCGTTGTTGTTGTTGTTGTTTTCGGAACGTCCTGAGACGTTTGCAAAAGGAGTGGGTAAAAAACTGGCAGTTCCGTAGGGCGAACAGTTAGGAGGCTGAAGAAACGGAGGTAGTGGAGGCACTGGATAACTTCCGGGAAGGTGAGAGTGTCCAAATTGCTCCAGGGGTGATGGACGAAAGGCCTGCATCTCAACGCTGTTTGAGCGCAGCTCACATGGAATGGGACCGGAGTCATGGGCTGTATGGTAGTTCACTGAAGCCAATGGAATCGGCCCGGATGAGTTGAACGATACAGCCACTGCTGCGGCGATGACGTTATAAAAGTCCTGGTAATTAAAGAAGAATAGTGCGGAAGTCTATTTGTATCGGGGAAAAAACTAGTGGAATATAATACTTTGATTACAACCCAATTTCCGAGCTGAAAAAAAGATTGGCACCTGTCTGCCACCATGACCAGTGACCCAACCAGATGTGATTACACACACTTTCTTGTGAGCCCCGTTGACTGTGAACAGCTAAACTGCCCAAATCGTTCGTCTTGTTGTACAAAAGAAACGTGAGAGAGGGGGCAAAATTCTCGATACCTTTTCCTTTGGTTTATATGTATATTTATATAAGGTTTGATCGGAAGCCGCAAAAGCCACATAGGTCGTTCACTGCCCATGCATACAGATCTAGAGAGCAATCCATGGTCTTATTTGAAGTCCGATGGCATTACATAGTGTAACACTCAGAGAGTTCCGGCTTCAAAATCGTCGAACTCAGTGCCACCGGTAACCGAATTTTCTGGTGAATCACAAAAAGATAGGTTCAAATGAGATCATTACCAAAGCTTCTCCAACATTCTGTCAAAGTAAATGAAAGTGAAAAATAAGTAGTAGATGTGAGTTGTCTTCTACCGGACAGTCTTCAGGTGCCATCCAAAACACTTGAGTCAACTCAGCCATGCTTTTTCCCATCATATGTGATATTGACATCTCTTGGTGAGTATGAGAATCGCTAAGGAACTCCGCGCTTTCCTGGCAAGGTATTTGATGTCGTGGACCTTGATCCTAAGCAATAGAATTTCAGATTCAACAGAAGGTCTCCGTTTGCCCAGTAAATGTAGCCATAAGTGAATTCGCGAAGTACTTTTTATCCTCTCCTATGATGAGCTAAACTAAGCATAACCACTTGAAATAAGTTCTGACTTTCTCAACCTACCGGATTATTCTCAACCAAGTATCCATGATAGGTCGGGTTCGTTATCAACTCCAGTGCGGCTTCGTTGTTTAACTCTGCCGAACCCAAAGAAGCTCGGATTCCACGAAGGCGTCGAGGGTTTCGGTAGAAAGACCGCCGGGGACCGAGTGCGTTGAGCTGCTTCATACGTCGTTCTTTACTTCGTCGGTTCTGGAACCACACCTGCATGGCAAACATGAAGAAATGTTTGAAAACGCTTGACAAATGAGTGAAATTGCATGTTCTTCAGTTCCGTTTTTACCTGGGAAATTTTCGTGAAACCTTACCTAATGTGGTCAAGTTAAATCTGAATTTACTACCAGAGCGAGGCAAAAAAACAAATAAATGAAAAGACAGCCAAGGGTCGAATTCGAAACGTCTCAAAACATCTAAGTCTTGCTTAGAGGTCTGTGCCAAAAAGTGTTACAACTGTGTGGAGTCCGCCAATGGGAATCACATACCCGTGGGCAAGTGTGAATCCATTGTTCCCCATTCGCGCACTATGCCAGCTAGCTAGACTATCCGTTTGCAACTACTTGCTGAAGTTATGGGGCGGATGATGTCCTAAACCGCGACCGTCCATCGCAACAACTTCCGCATCCACTAAAATTCAGCTTTGATTCTAGTAGTGAATCTGTAAGCAGAAGAGATTCGAGCTTTCAGCGCCATAGTGCCAGGTCACCTATTCAAGTGAGCAACTCCGTACGATGGGTTCACGGCTGTTGTAGACGCATGGTGAGTGATTCGCCACGACGAGGTTGTTGAGCTGTTGCGTTCAAGACTTCGTTAGTTTACCATGCCTCAGGATCCTTTAATTTACGAGTAGCCTCGCGCCAATAAGACGAAAAAAACAGAACAAATGGTGGCTTTGTAAGTTCGGCCGTTCATTCCGAGAATGGGTATATCTAACAAACGGTACTATGAGTTTGTCAACCTGTGTCTCTATCTCACCTTCTGTTTGGCAATTTGGTAGAATATAAGGAGCGAAATAATTCTGCTTTCATTTTGAGTGCTGGTATAGAAGTGCGGAACTTCATCCCTGAAGCATTTGTTTCAATGCTTGCTGCACGTCATCTGTCGCGGCCGCAACAGATCGCCGCTTAGCTTGGCTGTCTCCATGCTATATCAACGGAACGATCAGTTCCGGAAGTCTGTCACAACATGTGAAAGCCTTTGTACTTTTAAGGCTACTGTTCACAATCTGGTCGATATCGTAAACGAAGAGGGCTGGATATAAACGGCATCCGTATCAGATCTCTTGAAGTTAAGAAACGCTTTCGTAGGCGCCGATCTGATTCGGCTGAGAATTCTGAGCAGCATGGCGTTCCGGAAGTGCCTGCGGTCTATTGCCGTACAGAATTCATGCTGTTCTAGTTTGACGGATCCAACAACCTTGATGCGGTGAGCGGAGTTCCTAGCAGGAAGGAACCTTCGTTAGCGGGCCTGTTAGCGTTTACTTTGGAAACCGTGTGTGGATAGCAGAGTGCTGAATTTCAAAGTCTGCAGAAACATTCATCAAGAATAAAGTGGAGTTCAAATTTGATGATCCCATTGTGATAGAACTGGTTTTTATAGCATTTCGTCCAGAAAGACTGTAGAAATGCTTTAGAAACCGTTCGAAAACCTACATAAATATGACCGCAAGAAAAGTCAGCAGGTATGTGTCGCATCTGACCTGCAGAAAAGTCGAATATACCACCCGAAAACAGGATCCTAGATGCAGTCAAACAAAGGTACAATCGAAAATAGGAACCCAATGTTTTGCCTGTAAATCACCGTTCTCTACCGGTGTGCAAAACTTTTCAAGGTTTAGCGTTGAATCATTTTTTCCTCGACTTTCCACACTGAATTCTTTTGTCGCATCGACGGGTCTGAGGCACACTCATATTGCCCACACCGCTTACCGCCTAGGTGGAGGTGATGAATCCTGGACGAGCAAGCACACGGATTTTCACACTGCACAAATACGTTAAGCCCCCGGAGAGCGCGAAAGGCTTAGCGTTACAAACCTGACGACATTCGCAGTCCAGTTGAGTCCACTGACCGTCGCTGTGTCCGTGTTTGTGTGTGTGTGTGTGTGATGTTGGCTTGTGAGGATGTGCGTACAGCTGAAGCAACAAGCCGCGGTAAAGCTCTGTCCTGGATTTGTGTTACGGTTGTGTTCAACGGAGGAGAACGCGCACAATCAAGATTTGGAAACTTGCATTACAACGATTTAGGTGTGTGCGTGTGTGTGTGTGGTTGAAATGAAATGCTCAATGAAAACAAAAATTCCACCTAAGCCGGTGATCTGCTGCATGCTAGAGAGCGAGATTTATCGCCAAATTTACAGAGCTTTGGGATGGGATACAAGTCAGCATACTCACATGCAACGAGTGTGAGCGAGCGTGGCTAACACCAGTCAACTCAACGCCTATTGCAGGCCGCAAACATGCGTGTGTTATGTGTTTACTTGTATGGAACAGCTATGACACACGGTGAATACAGTCCTGATCAGGGGTGAAGCTAACCACTCAGCAGAGACAGCGAGATAAATAAATAAGTAGAGAGAAAAACGGCTTATCAGCTCAACGCATTCAAGCATCAGTAAGCTAGTCATCCTAGTTCGGGTGCGCGCGCGCGCGGTGAGAAGGGAGCAGGCTGGCCCTGTCCGATCGTTTTCCGATGAAGAGGGATTAACCGGTAACGGAAATACAAAACACTGGCAACCAAACGGGATCTCGTGTCAACTCGGTCTTAGGACAGTCAGTGAACGCCGTCCCATGACGAATTGACAAACTGACCTGTTGAGATAAAGAAACTGTTGGATGTGTATGTAAGCTGGTGTGTGTGTGTGTGTATGTGTGTGTTACTCCTCGAATTCATTTCAAGGCTTGTCAAAATGCTCTAGAGAATTATGTGAGATTGATAGCTGGCACTGCCTTTCAAAATGAAGACATGATGAGAAATTGGACTTCTCTTTCACGAGAAATGTTTTTTTATTTCGTAAAAAAAGATTTACGCATTTGATAGGATGCTGCTTCTGGGACTGAGGAAAACTGATCGACAGTCAAATGCAGATTTATTTTTTTGCTTATTAATTTTGATGCCAAAATCGACTAGAAATGGAGCACCGAACCGAACTAATTCTCATGTGTTAGACAAAACGGAAATATTTTGGATCCTTCCATCCTTACTGTAAAATTACCAAAGAACCCAGAGGTACTGTTGTGGGGAATCGGCCTCACCTCTAGCGTCTCTCGTAGTAGAAATGAAAACCGGGAGGGTTGTTTCCGGTACAATTCTTTCCGTAGTGTAATCTACCACGAACACTTGCCCTTGGGCGGCTAGTTACTGAGCCCCAAATCAAATTACATCAGACCAAACTACCACTGAAACGGGTGAAAAATAACTGTGTAAATCGTCCACTAATCTCGATAAATACAAACCAATTTGGTCTTCACGGGGGACCCATCTGAAACCCAAATGAATCGTTCGTAAGTGATGTTCTTCGACTGAATGTGCTGCATCAGGCAGTCTCATGCTTCAGTCGGCACGACAATCATGATATCGCAGTACACTGTATGGGCGTGATACACTACCCATAAGTTTGCTGAAAACTCTTCGCCCTTCTGTTTCGGCTTCATCAAGCAGGCGCATTCTCCGAGTTTCTGTCAAGCTTATATTCTACTTGAACCTTATGAGTAGCGTGTTGCGTCTATCTCTCAAATTATTATTGGTAGGGTTCGACAATTTCCTAACAAGTTAATACTCCGACAAGAAAGTGTGGGTGGCTGCCATCGGCTAACTCTGGGCTTTCTCGATAATTTACATCATTCAAATGCCCGATTATCTGAGTACTACTCATTTGGAGCCTGAATTAAATCTGTGCAGTGTACGAGCTCAAGGCTATTACCGAATCGCATTGTGGGCTCTGTTCCGTTAAAACATTCGGCTGGCCATATACTGACAAAACGAACAGTGTGCAGGCAGTTGCCAATCGAATTTGGTCAAATCCAGCAACACAACTATATGCGTTTTGGCCACGTAAACACCTCGTCACTGACTTATACGTTCAGGCGACAAGCTGGTAAAGTCCGATTGTAAATATTGTTTTTCTTACTTCCGTACTCGAAAAATTACCTGCATATCCAACGGAATGTTTGACCACTTAGCTCAGATTGGTTTTGCGAGGTGGAAAGCCGAAAGCACTGAAATAGCTAGCTATTCTGAGTGGAAACTGTCGTTCCGTCAGAAGAGAAGCTTTTCGGGCTGCAAACGTTCCAGAACTTTAATCAGCTAAGCTCAACCAAGTTTATCACTTAAAATGAACTTCTGAATAGACGTGCTTGAAAGATTTATTAGGCTAGCAAAGTAAAAAGGCTTTCCGTCGTTTGTATTTCAAAGATGTTACAAGGTTCTAACTAACTAACTAACTAACTAACTAACTAACTAACTAACTAACTAACTAACTAAATAAATAAATAAATAAATAAATAACCAAACTAATCTGTGGATTTGACCAAGGCATTCCCTTAGTTACCTTATTGATTTTAAGAGAATGGAGTTTCTTTCGAGAATCTACGGGTGGAAATCGTTCAGAAACCATCCGAAGATTAGCTGCAAATAGGAAAGAGGCATTTTAACCTCTGGTGTGGTTGAACTTTCTTCGGAACGAATTCACGGGACTTAACTTTGGTGTATCTGGTGGTGGAGTATAACGGAACAGCTTGCCAAGCATAATTTTAGGTAGCTTCTTGTCGAGTTTGTCCGATGGTACAAATAAGGCGCAATTCCATCGCCATACTTCTGGCTGTAAACAAGGCCGTGACCGTTTCAAAAGAAACTACCTGAATGACTCGGGGGCCTAACTGGCTTCCTTTCGGGTCCATCAATGAAAGCTTTGTTTATTTTCAATCGCACTTCTGTACAGTCTATCGTAATATCGAATAGCGACAAGAAACCGAAATATATTGACTGTTCATTCAGAATAGCTCCAAAATACTCGAAACTTGAAATCGGTCCCCACCTGAACTAATGAAGCTTGGCTGGGGATAGATCACTGCTTGAACGCAAACTTGCTGACCGGAAGATCTTCAAATTAATTTTCCACTCGACTGTCGGATTCCAACTGGAAGACAAACTCCAGAAAACCGCCCCTAGCCTCTGCGTCACTTACCCCTTCGTCTACT